TCGATAACTGGACTATCCAACACAAAAAGAATTATTCAATTCGAACCAGTAGTTTCGGAGATTAGCGCTTTCAAACAAACAAACAAACTCTTCAGCTTTATAATATTAGTATAGATTTTCCAGTGAAACCATTATAATAATCATTTGTTCAGTGATTCTTCATTAGAAACATGAAAATACTCCCAGTAAGCCATAGCTTAAAGCGTCTAATATAAGGAAGTTTTTTTATGAAATAAATATTGTGGCTATAAATCTTAATATTTCTGTAGAAGGGACATAAAATGTCTTCATAATAAACTGAGTTTAGTATTAACGAAAAGGTTATTTCAATGTTAAATAAACGAAAACAAAATACAAGAGTACCTAATCCTAAAAACTAATATTTTTTATCGTCTAAAGTAAAAGATTGAATTAATGAAGGAGAACAATATTAAGCAAGAAGTTTACTTTAACTTTGGCCTTTAATTTTGAGTAAAGTAGATTTTAACTTCTGTATTCCTATCATGTAAAGGTCACAATTTTTATTCTTTTTTATGAGGATACTACGAGTATAAGAGTATTCAAATTTTCAGAGAAATAAGTATATCTTATTCTAGAAACATAAGAATTTTTCTTTATAAAACTGGATCTATTTTTATACCAACTTCTATTTTACATCTCATTCTATTTTACATAGACTAATATTTGAGAAGATTGATTATTCAAATCGTTCATGCGTAAATAATACATGTTTTATGGTCTTGTTGTTAGAAATATAACATATATAATAATTTAAGCAACTGCAAGAAAGTACCATTCATTTGTTTTTTACTTGTTATATTAAGTGTGCTCTTAAAGTTGATGATTTTTTTTTGTTTTATTGATAATAATGATTAAAAATTTAAATAATATCCACCCTCTACTTGATTTTATATAGTAACGTCTATAAAAAAATCAATAATAAAAACTCTTATCCATACCTAAATGAACAAAAAAAACATTTGGTTTTGCTGGTTAATTTTATTGGTAGAATAAATATCTTTTTAAGCAACTAAAACTGAAATAGCGACTATTTGTTATAATAATTGGTTACTTTGAACATAGTAATACTATATAATAATACCCAAAGTAACCAATTTTGCGAATAAGAATGCCTAAGTTTATGTTTGTATCAGATCAAATATCTTATCTGGTATTGAAGGCCGTAACACAGAAAAGGTCACAATATTGAGTATTGGGTAACTTAAGATATTCTTCTCGTAAGTTTTATAATTCTGATTGACCTTTTGAAAAAAAGTTACAACGATGGTACATTAAACAAGTGTAAATGGTGCATATGGATATATGGCTTTATTGGTTAATATAGAAAGATAATAGTGTCTACTTTTAATGCTCATGTAAGTGATAATAATGTCTAAATGGGAATAAATATCTTAAACCATACTTTTTGACTTTAGATTCACATACACGTAAGTTTTACCTCGTCATTTTGATATTTCATTCCGGATGCACCCTGACTGATATGCAAGAAAATTACGAATTTATTCTATAGATTACAAATAGGATGATTATCCAACAAACATTCAATTTTTCTTTTCGTGAATCCAATTACCACTAATAGAAGCGTCGTAGTCAACTTATAAAATAAATGAGTTTAGTAATAAAATATAGTTTTGTATATATAAAACTACAGCTACTTTTTTTTGACGTTTTCTGTGTACAATTAAAATATTTCCACAAAACATAAGTTCTTACGTAGCTATTGCCTTTGCGGAAGCAAAGAATTACTCCAATTTTTATAGTTGCATACAATGAAGTGAAACTTCATATTATTAATAATAATTTATTAACGACAATTTTGACTAAGTTATCTGTAGTGTTTATTTTTTATCCTCAGGAAAATGTAATAAAAGTTGAATAGCAAGCACCCTAAGCATAAAAGATTGAAACGGTTAAAATGTATAGAATACTAGTAACAAATTAAAAATAATGAGAGAAAGTTTTCAAATAAATAAATAAATATAAAACATTGCTATTTCGTTGAAAGAAACGGTACGGATTTATTATATCTCGGTTGTGACTTGACCAAGGGGACAAAAAGATAATAATGATATATGCGAGGGTTAGGGCACTGATAGCGGTCTCAGTTGGATCTGATGAATTCGCTCTGAGGATTAACCCTAAGGATTTTACTAACTTCATGTCACAAATATATAGATTTCACACTTTGTTATGAATGTAAATTATGTTGTACTTGGAATATTTTTACATATAAGATCTAAATTTTTTTTTATTTAATCTATTTTAATAAGTATCTATGGAGTTTATAAGAAGGAAATTGTATTGAAGAAAATTGCTGGAAATTTCAATAATATTTACTTAAGACATTACTTATACATTTTGTTTCAATATATCTTGAGTTCACTTAAAGTGTACGGTATATTAGAAGTGGTATTGAGGAGGTATTAAATATATTTAACATTATTAATTATGATAGATATTGCTTCAATTGTGTATTGAGGGGTTTTAAGCTAATTGATTTAAATTGATGAACAATGAAATAATTTCAGCACAGTATCTACTGAAAAAGATTTATATTGATAATTTTATAATTATTTCTTTCAATGTAATTGAAAATGTTTGTTTAAAATAGACAACGCAAGTTTTAATTTATATACATTTATTAGCTAAATTAAATATATTATAATTACTCTATAGGTAATATGATATAGAAATATCATGTAGGATGCATTCAAGTATGATATACATACCAACAGTGTATTATTATATTTACAATTTTGGAAATCTGCGTTACGTAATATGAATTAGGAACTCTGACAACATTACATATATATTTTAACACATTTTAAATATATTTTTAAAGCATGTATATCCCCTTCTTATACAATATAAGACTTTGATAATAATTCGTGCAGGTTCAAAAAAGTTAATTTATCAAAAAGAACGCTTACTGGCGAGTTAATGAACCGACATTGGGGTGATAATGTCTTTGGCAGTTAAGGCTTAATATTGCAAAAGGATAAAATATTGTAAAGCTTTCAAGGCCTTAAAAGCTGTTAGAAACATGAAAAAGACAACTTTTCAAGATGTATTGTTTGAAAACGAAATAAGTATTTTTTGGATTTACTTATGTCCTATTCTTTTTTTATTTCTAAATACATACGTGCATCAATGTATTTGCAGACAAAATTAAATACCTAAATTATTTATTATTAATAATAGAAATACATTTTAAGGTTGGCAACAATTGGATGAATGTTATAGAATGGAATCGTTTCTACTTTATTTTATTATTTCGTCTAACAAGTTTTAACATTATATTAAAAAAATATATATTTACTAACTTCAATATCACATTTTACAAATGGGTCACAAGTTAACTGCTTCTTTTGATTACGTTTATGTTTTTAGTTTTGTACTATAGTCTTATTCTTAAAAACATAAAGTAAAAGTAAAGTTTTGTAATAGTATATAAAAAATGTTTAAATAAATAATAATTTCTAACACTTTACATTTTGCCGATAGTGTAGCCTATATGTGACAAGAACAAGGCGAACTGGCAGACACTTTCATCCCATCGTCTTATGAACGTGGTTGCCATTCTGTAATCTATACTTTGGATAAAATATAAAATAAGAAACACTTGAGTTAGTTTGTTATGATATAATATTTTTCTAATTCAGAAAATCCTATTGTTAAACTAATAAACGAAGTAAACAAAAGATTAACCAAGTTGGCGTTCGGAACCTTATTATTTTGGTTTTTGCTTATTATTTTGCTTACCATTGTATTTCATTATTTGTAGTGAATTTATCCCAAAATATTTATTATAATTAATTTTTTTTGTTAATTATTACTTAATATGCAACTGAATAAAGAATTTACAAAATAATTACAACAGACTTTATGTTACAAAAATGTAGCTCATGTAGCAGAGTTACATAAAGGCAAAATTATACCGATAATTTGTATAATTTAATTTGTAACACAAAATAACAGTTGTATTTTGTTTGAAGTTATGTGACACAGACTGTGGCTCTGACGATACGGTTCAATATAATTTTTTAGAGGTCCTTCGTGTTTTCAAAACGAATTATAAAGCTAAACAAAGCATAACCTGCTTTTTCGGAATTTTGGCTTTTTTTTATATGCGGTAAACCTTGGCTGTGGTCAAGTTTCTACAGATTGAACATGGGCTGGCTTCACCGGGAAAGTACCACCCTCTCACAGAAGATCGGCGTAAGTAGTCTTAAATGGCTGCGTTTCGTCCGATGAGTGAGAGAGCCGGTTGTCTTTTCCCTTTTCCTTTCCTTTCCCATTTTTTCCATCTCGTCTTCCCTAAACAAGAGTGGCGATACATCCACAACATCTTTTATATTACGGATGTCCATGGGCCACGTGAAGACCTGCGTTAGGTAGGCCGTCTGCTCGGTTCCCCCTTTAGAATAAAAAATAAAATTATAGTAAAATTTCATTAATTACTTAATTACGTTTATTATACGTGTACATGATTTTAAAAACGGTTTTGAATTAAAAATATATCACGTGTTTTTATGTTCTTTTAATTATTTATTTATTGATTAACCTTTCAGTGTATAGATTGTTTATATATGTATACTTCATGATATTCGTATATTACTTCGTTTGAAAATGAATAATTATGCTATGAAATACGTTTATAACAATAAATTTCAAATGATTCAATTAAAAGTCTTTGTAAAGGCATTTCTTTCGTTTGCCATTATTCATTAGACAACAAGAAAATATAATTACGAACAAGATTAATACCAAAGTGCTTGCGACTGTAATTAAAGGAACTAAATCAATTAGATCTGAGGTCTTTTTACAGTTTCGATTGCTTGTTTAATGCTAGACCAGAGACGCGTGTTTCAAAATAATCTAAATTTATTATGTCAGCGTTATTATTTTTAATTTACTTTACAATAATTACGATTGAAGCAACTTATTATACTGAAGATAATTCTACCGACATTTTTGATATGTTCAAAGAGAAGTATCATAAAGTGTATAGAAGTGCAGCAGATGAGACAAATCATATGAAAAGATTTGTTGAAAATTTAAATGCTGTAGAAAAGAAAAACGATGCTACCTTGGACCGTGATACATTTTTTATATTAAGTCAATATGCGGATTTAGATCCCGAAGAGATTGAGGAACGGTACGCTATTGATATTAAACCATGTAAGGAACTTTGTATTTGTATAAAAATATATATATTTAATTTTATTATTTTAATTTTGTATTATTTGTTTTAGTTCATAAAGTGAGTAATTCAAAAGACGCTGAGTACTTAGGACGGCAACGTGAAAGAGAACTCAAAGTTTCTCAAATGTACGATTTAGATAATGCACCTGAACTATATAATGACTTCATGAAGAAGTATGGCAAAAAAAATCATACCAAGAAATTGGAGTACACAAAACACTTTTATAGATTTGTGAAAACTCTAGTGGAGATAAATAAAAATAACATTCATGGCGATAAAAATATGACCCTCGATAAAAATGCTGACGTTATAAAAGAGCCGGATGAATACTTTTATTGAAAGACAGTTTAGTAGATTATAATAATACCATTAGATAAGTAGAAAAAAATATTTCGCTTTAAAATTTATGATATCTTATGTAATGAATAATATGTTACGATATTTCTTTCATGATAGATTAAATAAAATGACTAACTAATAGTAAACAACTCAATGAAGTCTACTTTAAATATTGGTATGTTCAATATGTATGTTGCAGTTTATTAAGTTTGTTCTTTAAATAACATTTTACCTGAAATGTAGAACTTATTGCTTTCGTTTATTTTATACTTACAGTTATCTAAGTTTTAATGATCTGTGTTCCTTTTATACCATCATTCTAGTCTGACTTAATGACGCCTATTAAAAAAAATATTCACATACATTTTCTTGTCGTGCAAAACATAGTACAAAATACAATTGATGGTAGAAGAGTCACCTATATAACTTTTTTTTGTTAAAAATAATACAGCTAATTCTGTCATAATAATATGTAAGTTAACTGAAATTAATTCATCGTTTTTATTTAATTTTACGCATCTTTATTTTTGTAACTGTAACCTCGCGTTCAGAGTTAAAGTGATAACAAAAGGTTTAACAGCTCGGAGAATCATAAAGAAATTTATCGTTGGCGAGTTACGTTCGTTTATAGTCCGGTATCAGTATCTAAACCAAAAAATTAAATGTATAAATTCATTTAAAGAATAATTATTTATCTATTGTACCTACGCACTATTGCACATGTATAATTAAACATTATTGTAAATATCTTAATTACAATATGTATATGTACAACAACATAAGTTCCACTTTGTGGTATACGGTGATATGTTATGATGAATTTTTACGTAAGTATTATTTCATGTCTTGCTAGTAAGTTTACATGGGCAAAATATAAGATATAAAATTAAGGTACCAAAATTAAATTAAAAATATTATCTACTAGCTTTTGCCGCGGCTTCGTCCGCGTGGAATAGTGACTTCCGACAGATTTTTGGTTTTTCCCACATAGTTCCCGTTCTTGCGGGGTTTTCGGATTGGTCGAGTTCCCGTAGAATTTTCAGGATAAAACCTATGTTTTTTTTAATTCACAATGAAGTACTCTTAACCAACAACATATTTATTTGTTTATTTGAATAAAGATTAATATTATTATGTTGATACAACTTAAACAAATTATTTCGACAAAATTAGGTACCATAAAAACGATTTTTGTGAGTTAATCTTAAAAGATAGACATATACTGTCGCGGACTGTTTTTTAGATCATTAAAAGAGCTATTATTCTTTAATACATATTTTTTGTGTATCTTGAACCTTTTTCACGGCGCACGCAACGGAAGGCTTCAGAGATGAAATAATTTCTCCCGTTTTTTACACATTTACCACTATATCTTTGCTCCTATTGGTCGTAGCGTGACGTTATATAGCCCACAGCCTTCCTCGATAACTGGACTATCCAGCACAAAAAGAAGTATTCAATTCGAACCAGTAGGTTCGGAGATTAGCGCTTTCAAACAAACAAAGAAACAAACAAACAAACAAACAAACTCTTCAGCTTTATAATATTAGTATAGATAATTTTGATCAACAATAAAGTATTGTGATAAAATAAAGAGTTAAACATTAACTTAAGATTGAATTTCAATTGAATATGCTTAAATTTTAGATTAAAATTAAAGGTGATTCCAATATTTTATACACGAAGTATTTGAATGTTTAAATGTATAGACTACAATTAGATGCCAAAATGCGTGGTAGTTCTATTATCTACTAAAATTTTAAACATTAAGCGATTGATAGACATTACAAACAGAAAATGTTGCCTAGAGATAAATCTGTCTAAAGATAGAAATGAAAGTGTCAAAAGCAAGAACTATTTTTATCGACTATAGCCTGAAAGTGACATTTATTTACGAGAGCAAAAATAAGACTTTTATAAAATAATATGGCTAATAACGTCTTCTTTACCTGTCAATTTGTAAAGTACGGGAAATATTAAATATTATATAAATATTTTTACTTAATAGCAAAAAGTATTCGGTATTTGGTTGTCTTTACTATAGTCATTGACCTTTCCTTTTAATATCAAGGATTCAAAATTTCCTGTTTTTTTTAATAAGTCTAAGACGTTTCGAAGGATACCTACACTATTAAGACTTAAAGATGGTAAATTTTATTATTTTTATTGGTTAACAAAATATAAGCAGATTACACACAGACATTCGAATAAAAGTTCCATTTTTATAATTAGGAGTTCAAATGACTCACATATGCTTTTAGTGATTTTTTTGTACATATAAAGACTAGAATATTATTTGTAATGAAACTTAGAATACAACAAGATTATGGGAGTCTTGTTCCACCTTTAAGCATCTAGCAAAATTCGTTTTAATAACAGTGAAAAAAAATATTTTTATAACTAATCACGTATAAAAAGTCGCTATAAAATAAGATAGGAAGCACACACGTAACATAGTTTTCAAGTTTTTTTTTCATTTAATCAAATAAATAATTATCAAACGATAATAATTTTAATGGTTTTGTTTCTTCATCTTCTTCTTCATATACCAAAAAAAAAATATGAAGTAATAATAAGTTTCAAGGTTTTATAGTTTATTTCTGTAATTATTTTAGTGTTGACTTTTTTGAAAATCTTTTTCTTGACAATTAATTATTTATTCAACCGTTTTAAGTATTAATAAATGTTACATGAAATAAGTTACAATAGACTTCTTATATAAGATATTTCTATCGATATACAAACGCACTGATTAATGTGAGTATTGTGGGATACTATAGCTCTCTCTCTGAAAGGTTTAGAAAATAAACTTATAAATTATAATACATGAAGATGTAGTTACGTCTCGTCGTTTACGTCCATTTTGCTTCATCAAATGTAGTAAACTAGCCGTCCCTAAATTGTGTCTATTTCCGTCTAGTCTTCATAATGTTTTCAATTGTTTAGTTAATTATATATATACTAGCTTTCCGCCCGCAGCTTCGCCGCGTGGAGTTCGGTTATATCGCGTTTCCAAGAGAACCTTTCAAAAGTCTGGGATAAAAACTATCCTATGTTCTTTCTCAAGGTCAACTCTATCTCTGTACCGAATTTCATTAAAATCAGTTCAGTGGTTTAGGCGTGAAAGCGTAGCAGACAGACAGACAGACAGACAGACAGACAGACAGAGTTACTTTCGCATTTATAATATTAGTAGGGATAGCATTTTTTATTTAAATTTGAAGATTTATAATTGAATAAATATTGTTTTAATTAACTAATAATTTAATATGATAATGTCAATATTTGTAACAATAGATTATTAAATAAATTGATAATTAAAAAACCAAAATATTTAACAAAATAAAAAAAATATATTTTCTAAACAGATAGTAATTATGTATGTTTTCTCTGAACATCATAAATAGGATTATACTTGTACATCCATATACATATATGTAAAATAAACAGCGGAAATTATACATCCATTTATACAAATATTCATACTTCATTCCTAACATTCGTTCCCGTATTTACTTTAAAATACCCAGTAAAAGTAGAAAGCCACTTATTATATGTAGTATTGCATTTCCATAGAATTTAAACATGAAGGTAATATTGTATCCCTTTGAAGTTTGTTTGTGATCCTTTTATAACTTAATCGATGGATGTTTATAGAGACGGAATAAGGCTGAGTTAACAGTTACTATAAAAACAATTTTATGGTTCAAAAGTTCAAAACTTATAAAGTTCCGTGATTTTATGGTCCATTATATGCGAGACTAAGCTTCGTTGGGTGTTATTTTAGATGCCAAAAGTATGCCATATAATATTTTCCTTTAAATGATTCCCCCTTATTGTTTTACATTCAGTTTTTTATTATTATTTGTAGTCCTAGCTTAATATTATGGCCTGTATTTGTGTGTTATTTGTACTGCATTAATAATTTTAAAATTAGATATCTTCTAATTTATTTTTACTTTTTTAAATTAATTTAGTATCTCAGAGCATATTGATGTGGTTGAAAAATACAAAAATTTATATTTAATTGAAAAATATCGTTGAAAGTAAGTCATAGTAGCTTTTCAGTCATCGCTAAACCACCGCTTTACGAGAGGAAAGCTCTTACAAAGAGGTCTCATTTATTTAATACTTTAGAAAGCAGAATCTAATATGGCACTGAAAGTCTTTGATATGAGTTTGCTTATTATAATTATGAAAGTCATTTAAAATGGAGTCTCATTATATGAAAATGTATTCTTAATATTTAATTTTAGATACATAGTTATGTTTCTAAAACGATAACAAAAGTAATTGCTTTACTTTTTAAGTATAAAACTTCAAAAGCTTTACGTGCTGTCTCACGTTGCTTTTCTATGAAACAGAAATTATATATGTATATATATTTTAATCTTTTAACATCTGTTCCCAGCCAACTTTCATTGTATTTCTACTGTGAGAATCTTTTAACAAAGACAAGTAAGTTAGGTTTTACTGCTTTCTACTAACCATAATATTCATAATTTTAAACTTGCCTATTAATAATAAAAAAAAATTATTGAAAAATCTCTTTCATTTAATAAATAAGTAAACAAATGTTATTTTAAGATAAGATAAGATCCAATAATCTGTTGACTTTTACCTCATTGTATCTGAGCGACTTAATAGGATTACACTAATATTAATTTATTTTTAATGATCCTATTTAGTAACGAGATCGATAAATATTGTTGATTTATTTTCTTTAAATAACTCGTCGTTCGTGGAAATGACTGGAAAAAAAATAATGAAAGAAAAGCTTTTGGCAATTAGAGCGTATAAATGTTATATAAAAAAATCTCTATCATATTATTTCATTTAATGGATACTGTCACGTAGTAATATTTGATTAATTACATTTTTATGATGCTAATTACAAGATAACATTAAAATATTTAGAACTCTAAAAACTTTGTCATCTTCTTTAAGTTTTCGCAAAGATTTTAATTCAATTATTTCATTGTATCCAATTAGTGTTGATA